CAAGATGTTAAGAAGGGCGAGAAGAACACTATAGTCAATTCTTTCAATAGAAATTTCACTTCTAGAAACGACGGTAACCCAGCTACCCACGCTTTCGTTGCTTCTCCAGAAATTACAACTGCTTATGCTATCGCCGGTAACTTAGGTTTCAACCCTATTACCGACTCCTTAAAGGATGCTGAAGGTAACGAATTCAAATTAAAGGAACCAGTTGGTGTTGGTTTACCACCAAATGGTTACGTCGCCGGTGCCAATACCTACCAAGCTCCACCAAAGGAAAGATCAAGTGTTGAAGTTGTCATTAGCCCAACCTCCGACAGATTGCAAAAGTTGGCTCCATTCGATGCATGGGATGGCAAGGATGCTGAAAGATTACCAATTTTGATTAAGGCTCTTGGTAAGACTACTACCGATCATATTTCTATGGCTGGTCCATGGTTGAAATACCGTGGTCACTTAGAAAACATTTCTAACAACTATATGATTGGTGCCATCAACTGTGAAAATGGTGAAGCTAACAACGTTAAGAACCACTACACTGGTGAATACAAAGGTGTTCCAGAAACTGCCGCGGACTACAGAAACGCCGGTAGAAAATGGGTTGTTATTGGTGACGAAAACTTCGGTGAAGGTTCTTCAAGAGAACACGCTGCTTTAGAACCAAGATTCTTGGGTGGTTTCGCTATCATTACCAAGTCTTTCGCTCGTATCCACGAAACTAATTTGAAGAAACAAGGTTTATTACCATTGAACTTTGTTAATGTTGCTGACTACGATAAGATTAATCCAGATGATGAAGTTGATCTTATCGGTTTGACTGCTTTGGCCCCAGGCAAGCACTTGACTTTAAGAGTTCATCCAAAGGACGGTGAAGCTTGGGATGCAGAATTATCCCACAGTTACAACGCTGAACAAATTGAATGGTTCAAGTACGGTTCCGCTTTAAATAAGATGGCCGCCTCTGCTAAATAAGTTGATTAGAAGACCACTTCTATTTTCTTTATTAGTCGATTATGTTCCTAAAATCGTTTAGTCATTACCTGTATTTGTTTTTTTGGTGTTTTCTGTTTATATCTTTATGGACTTTATCTAATTAACATCATATATATATTCATTATTTATTTATTCGTATTCTGAATGTACTGTATCGATATTTATTACTATAGAAAGCTTCTCTATTGAAAGACATGAGGCTTGCATGTAAAAACTCGCCGGGATTAATTTTTATAATCTCGCGAAATCTCAAAAGAAAAATTGAGAAGCTTAACACCGAAACGATTGCTTTACTACTTATTGTACTAATATTGTTTATTAACATATAAACAAAATAAATAATAGAGGGTAAATGAGAATTGAATATAAATACGTGGCGAAAACCATCTAGGCTTTCTGAATATAATCCATTAGCTCATGTAAGATATTTTCCAATGAAATATAGAAAGAACAATAATCGTTAATATCAACGAAGTTATTTCTTAATGAATAATAAATCTTATCGCCCAATTGTCTTAATTCATTTTTATCACACTGCGAATTGGATAAATCATTTTCTTTTCTCTTTAATGTGTCATTAGAAACAGACTGGTATTGGTCCTTTGTGATTAACGAATTCTGCTGGAATGTGCCAATTTCTGGATTACTGAATGACAGCCTTGACGAATGCTCCCCATCGAATTTCATACCAGTCCTTAAGTTCGACACTGGTGTGAATGTGGGGGATGATTGTGGAGGAATAGGCTGAGGGACATCCATAACATTAAATAATTCATTCATATTCATATAACCAGCTACCTGAGAATCACAGAACTCAATCTCGGACTTTATATTTTCATTACCGAGATTATGTTGTGTTATAAGATTGATGATATTGTATTTTTCTAATATGAATCTCCATACTGAGTTTGTCAAAGACAACATTCTTTTATATTTTTCATTCTTAAACCATTTTCTGTTAAGAATGAACAATGCCTTATTTATCAATTTAACGTAAATCATTAATTCATTACTTGTCATGAATTCGTAGTTAAATTTAACTGTTATAATTATAAACATCAAAATTATTGAATCTAATGGAATGGTTCTTTTAACGTACCAATTAAATTTGCCGAATTTTATGAAATCGTTATACTTTAAAAAGTCATTCAAATTATGCAATATAGAGGGAATTAAATTGTTTCCCAAATTCTCATAGGAAAAATTCTCATGTTGACTAAATTTTAACTGTGATATAGTAGAATTATCAAAATTACTAATGATATTAGACTCTTGAATTTGGCCAAATGTATCTTCATATTGACTTAAAGATAAAATTCCTCCTCTATTTTTACTACGATTGATCTCATATTTATCCTCATACTTGATTGTTTCATTCCCTTGATTCTCATCAAAATCGTGCTTCGGGTCCTTGGACCGATCACGAAGTAAAATTTTCTTATGTAAAAGCATTAATGCACGATCAACAAAACTCCAACTATGATTCGTAATAAAGTTTATTAAATTCATTTCCAGAACCGTTTGCGGTGGGTTCATTTTATAAAATTGTGTCATCTTATTAATTGATTCATGAATATGGTAGAATAAATTCGTAATCATTAACTTGATTTCATTTATTTCATCTCTCGTAATATTATTCGATAAACCATTATGCAATTGATATACCAATTCACTTAAAATCCTATCATATTGAAATTTAACATTCATCGATAACATAGTGACGTTTAACTTTTTCTCTTTAATCATACCATTTTCATTAAAAACAGGTTCTTCTTCGTCAGGCATAACCACATTAAAGTCGTCAAATTTACAAATTGGAGGTAAGCAATGATTATGACTTGTTAAGGCATCTAAACCAAAAATAACCCACCATAACAAACGTCTAAATTTAATTACTTCCCAGTCATTAATTCTTAATGTCAAAATTGGATCTTTATGAAATTGTAAGAACTTCGCATACCTTATAATTTGTGACATTTCCATGGATGATGGATTGGGCGATGTCAGCTGGATTATGACGTTTCCTAACAATAATGGAATTGTTCTCAATCCGTGTGGATAATTATAATACTGACAAATCTTGTTAAACCCTTTCAAGTAATTATCGATATCCTGGTTCAATAATAAATTATCATACTCTTCGAACTCCGAAACAGTAGATGCATACAATATTGGGAAGTATAACGTATAAAACTGTAATATATCCGGATTATTACCCAGTGACGGAGTATCAGCTTTTACTAGATCAGATGACGAATTTTCTTTCATACGATCATGTTCATCCCAAAATTTCGTATGCTCCTCAATAAAGTCTTGTAAATTAACCATTAATGGCAAAAGAATGTGAACTGAATTGATGTACCTGTTTATCAATTCAAACGATCTTTCTCTTGATGAAGGTAAATGTTTAAGCAAATCGCCTAGAAGATGTTCGTTATCATAATACGTATTAGTTCCATAAAGGAAGTTAACGGTTGTAGCAGGATTAGACGAATATGGATTTAAAGAATTACTAATCTCGATACTTAATTGATTCGTTGATGATTTGTTATTATTGCTGGAGTTAGGCAATAACGAATTGTTATTTTGATTATCAATGAAATTACTTCTATTTTGTTGATTAGTTTTTGCAAGAAGGCCACTTAGATTCGTTTGACTATTAGAGTGACTATTAGCACTGCTGTGAACTCGAGTGTTAATATTACTTAATGGCGGCGTCATACCAGACCTATTGACAATATTTTCATGGTTAAATGGAAATGAGCTTAAGTTGAATTGGTATTGTTCGTCCGGTGGGTTTGACATGTAGTTCGTGTTGAAGAAATTGTTGGTAATGTTGTTGCTTCCGGAGTTCATCACGGGCGTCTGCAATAAAGAGTTATTCAAGTTCATAGGACTTCCATTCGAGTTCTTAGGCATACCCATACCGTTGAGCGGTTGGTTAAGCTGGTTCATAGGCGAATGAGCTTGCATGTTAAGTCCGAAGTAAAGATCCGCAAACTGAGAATCCTCCTTGCACAAAGCAATGTCATCATTAGTCGTCACAGACTCGTTGCTATTTTCATTGGATTTGGGAGACATGGGTGAGATATTGTGGTCCGAATATGATGACAGCGAATCCGTTCTCGTGTCGTTTTCCATTTTTATGGCCTCATCAAGTCTTCCTCCAGTGACTTCTTCTGTTACGGTAGGCTCAACTTTAATCGCTGCCTGAGGCTCGACCTGTCGACTCAGTTTCTTTCCTCCTCTACTAACACGTTCATTAATGAAGTACTTACACTCCAAACCTAGCTTGTCACAATTATTACAAACCGGTTGTACTCTTGAACACTTAATCTTCTTGGAATGGCAGTATATACAGCTCAAAATCTTCCGCTGCCTGGTCTTTTGTAGTTTCATCACTTTTCCTCCCTCTAAAATCTTCATATCCTGAGTTTTCACCTGTTTGGTATTCTCGGACATAATGACTGATATTATTCAAATTTTAACACCGACCTTTTTTTTAGATTATAAATTCTATACTATCGAACGGATATCAATACGACTAGATAAGTACAAATGAACTGAATACGATATCAAAAGGTTTATAATATACAAACAAATTTAAAAAAAGTCGAAAAATGTGAAATCGAATGCTATATAAGACTGCCTGACTAAAGATACGAATGTATAGCATCGCGGGGTTAAGCGCAATCGCTCTGTGCACGACATTTCAATAATAGACACTTCATATGCGACTCACCTATCTCCTTATATTATACTTGTAGGAGAAAAATAGATCGTTACAAGCTACAAGTTCTTAGGGTCATTGAGTCAAATGTCCTCTGAATTATTGAATAATTGTGAAAAATGTAAGCATCAGCCTGTTCATTAGTGGTCCAATTTAATGAAGTAGCAATTTGGCAAGCATCACTCGCACAATCGTAGAATAATAATAAAATATTTTGTTCTCAATGCGGTTATTCTATTGTAAGAAGCGATTACATTAATAGGATGGGGTAAAAAAGATGACGATCCATCAATCCGACCCCAAAAAGAATGCGAGACCATTGGAAAAAAAAAATACTCTCCGCGACGGGGAATTGAACCCCGGTCTACCATGCGACAAACGGTAATTCTAGCCACTAAACTATCACGGATGTTATTGAGGAATGTGTAAGAGATCACATATACATATACTTAATGTATATGTATAGTGTTGCAAAAGTTATACATCATGGTTGCAAAACTTGGTGTATAAATAGAAGTGATTATCCCCTGAGTCTGGATAGACGAAAGGAAAGAAGGAAATTAGGAACTAATTATAGGTAGTTAAAGTTAGTTAGTTAGCTAAGAATAAAGTAAGGAAGTTCTATTTGGTCTATTAGAACATATATATAATATACAGATTATAAGTATAAGTAATTACCTTATTAGAACCCAGTTTCCTTACACAAGGCATTGAAACATAATTATTCATATATTCCTTACGGTAGCAGGTTGCAAATGCTTCATGTTTCAAGAATACTTCACAATGTATTTTCAAAGTGAAATATAACTAGACTAATTTAATCCTCAATCATTTCTAGCAAAAAATTTTCAATTAGGAGTTTATTGAAGTGATTCGTAGCTGATTATTGACTTGAAAATAATTGCGTTAATTCGAAGATATTGGTCAAATAAAACATATATCAACTAATTTAAACCAGTAACAATTTCACCAAAAATGATAGTATCATAATATCAGTAACTGAAGCCAGAATAAAAATGTATACGGATTCTCTTCAAGAGACTATTGAAGCATGGTGGATTGAGCATAAGGCAATGAGAAGAAAAGAAAGAGAACTTCAGCGGAATGAAAGAAGGAGAGAGTTGGAATTGCAAAAAAGGAAACATTAGAGAGAGAAGCTAAGTTGTTTCTTCAGCATATCAAGGTTACTTATTCAGGTAACAGAAACTCCTATAGAATTAAATGTTTTGCAAAGGAAATTCTTTAATTGCAGAAAACTTCGAATTGGACGATCGGCAGCTTATCATCATAGTAAGAAGAAATATTACAGGAAAGGCCAAGATGTGGTTTAATGAACATACGGCTCGTGAAAAAAAGTCAATTTGAGACCTTCCATCAATTTATTCGAGCTTTTGAACAACAATTTAGTGAAATATATGACATACACGCTCAGTTTACAAAATTATTGAATTTACGTCAATTGGAAAAATTAATACATTCAACACATATTCTTAACCTAAGACAATTGAACTGCACGCCTACGGCAGTTTAAAATAATATAGGCCAATTAATATATAATATATTCCTTGGCTGTTACTCCGAAATCTCTAATACAACCTCCAAAGATATATTTTTTAAATATATTCCTTGAATACCATGGAATGAATACCATAAAATTTATCACTCGCGGAGGAGTCTAGGTTCAATATCTAAAATTAAAAAATTATAAGAAAGGAAGATTGAAAAGTGAACAGAACACAAGTATACAAATATTTCCTCAATTGCTGAAAAGGAATCTTGAAGAATGATGTGTAGATAGGGTATTGATTTGCTAAATTAGGATGTAGATATTGGTAATAAGTATATGCAGTACTCAAATATTTTGATTATTCGAACAACAGATGTACATAATGCTGAATTAGTTGTATTTGATTATCTAACAAAGCACAGTTTCCTTAGTATATACTCAAGAATGAGTACAGAATCAGAAGCTTTGATGTACTTTGACGATAAAGTAATCAATGAATTCGAGGGAGTTGGAAGCGAAAGCTTAATACAGTTATTGCAAGCTCCCGATCAAACAAGCCAAGATGCTGAAAATATCATATCACAAATTTTCACAGAGCTTCTATTAGTGTACGAAGAAGAAAGGATAACGTTAGAAGCCATCATACAATTTTTGTCTTTGGCAATTAAAGATGAATTCATAGCTGTAATATTTTGTCAAGTGTTCGACGTTTTCCCGTTGTCAGTTTCTTTGCAAAAGCTTTTACTGGAAATTTTTCAGCGCCAGAATATAATCAAAGCGTCAACGTTTTCAAAAATGATAGGTTATGACTCGATAATGAAACTGTCTATCGTTCCTACGGATACATTGATGAAGCAATTGAATACACACAAAAGAGATGAATTTTATACGCAGAAGAAATATAATTTAATCCATGAAGAATCAGAAGGATATGCCAAATTGATGGTAGAAATTTACAATATTTTGAAATACAACGACACCTCGTATCAAGTTGACTATGCCCTCCGTATAATCGAGGAATTGACTGGGCATTATAATTTGGATCCGAATCGTACTCTTGATATTTTGATTGAATTGTATAGTAATAACTTTGTTGGGAATCAAGACTTTGCTATAGAATTATTAAAAAAATCCCAATGGTGGCCTTCAGAAGAGAGCGATTGTTTTTCATCCATGGAGAACCTTTCTCAAGGTGGTAATGAAACTGCTGCTAAGATTATTGGCTTGAGAATTCTGAAACAACCATTAGACAAGGACTTACCCGAAACCCTTAAAATTTTGTTTGCTTGCTTAATTAAGGAAGGCTTTGTAAGTTTTGGATCGATTTATAAATATGTAACCCCTGGTGATGAAGAAATGAAAGCATTGGAGGCCGATTATAAAAAACACTTGAACGAAAAAGTTTTCAAGGCAAGTGCAAGTGCACTCGCATTAGCATCTCCATTACAAGATGACGAGGAAGATGAACATACATCTAAAGACAAGAAGCCATCATCCCAAGGTAACCTAAAACAAAAGGAGGGCACTATGCAGTCAAAATTAAATTCTAATCTTAGATTCCAGCTACTACGTGTGTTTTTAGGTAACGGCTTATATTGGCCTTCGATTTATATTTTGACCGAATACCCTTTTTTGGCATATGTTGACGACGAAATAAATGAATTAATAAACCGTTTATTCAGCTCAATGCTAGCACCATTATATGATTCTATAAAGGTGTTTTCTGACGAAGAATTTGATAAGTTACAAACATCAAAACAAGTTGCTTTTTCGAGACCATTTAACAATGTTCGTTATGAAGAGTCCCCCTGTACGGAATTATTGAGCTTTAAACCCACCATTAAAAGTTTCAGCCACAAGCGTTTTCATTACTTTTATACAAACTGGAATAAGAAAATACCTCAAATCAACAATCCTGATGATTTGTTTAAAGTCTCAAAAGAATTCCTTAAATTTAGCGGTGTAAACTTAGCTAAGGATTTAGAATTGTTTTCTAAAATATGTGAAATAGGAGTTTGGGATTTAAATAGAAATCAAGAGAATGAAAGTAGGAAAAACGAATGGCTTCATTATTTCAGAAACTTTATTTTTCCAGCTATGCCATTGATAGAAGAGAATTCAATTATAATTGATAAGGCTTACTCCATTTTATCGTTTTATGATTCTGAAGATCGCTTTAATTTATACAGTGAGATGCATCAAGTGTTAGCGAAAAATAATCCATTGATAAAAATTGCGTACGGCAAGGCGGAGAAATCCACAAAAGATGTTTTAAAGAGGTTGTCCAAGGAGAATGTACGTCCTATGATGCGAAGACTAGCCAAGATCAGTTTCTCTAACCCGTTACCTTGTTTCTTAACTATTTTACAACAGATTGAAAGTTATGATAACTTAAATACCTTGGTTGTCGAGACTGCAAGATATTTTAATAATTATGGGTGGGATACGTTGACTTTGGCAATTTTAATGAGACTTACTGCTTCAGGGAGATCAAATATACAAGATGATGGATTGAATGAACGTCAATGGATTCAATCGTTAGCATCTTTTATTGGTAAGATTTGTCATCGCTATCCTAATGCAATAGATTTAAAAACATTGATAACATTCTTATTGAAATCTCTTCATAACAAGGAAAACGTTGGGTTAATTGTTTTGAGAGAGATATTTATATGTATGGGAGGTATCCAAACAATTGCTGATTTAACATTACGTCAGATTGATATGATTAACTGTGGTTCATCATTAGAAAAGGTAGTCTATAGAACAATCGATGATTTGCGGTTCGAGAGGTTCAAATCTGGTCACATATTAGTTAAAACTCTCGTGGAACTTGATGCTGTTAATGAACTATTAATTTTGCTCTGCCAATTAGGAGATGATATGTTGTTTAATTCTGATCAATCTCATTTGAAAGTCTTAGCAAATAAGAGTGACGATTTAAGTACGGTCATGCATCTTTTCACTCAATTAATTAATTTCTTCGGAAGTAGTGAAGATTTGGCTGAATTATTATTACCGGTTTCGGAATTTACTACGAAGTACCATGTACCGCCATCATTTGCATTTGAAATTTGGAGACAGACTATCAGTAAGAGGATTTTAGCAGCTACAGCTTCTGATGATATTTTCAATCCTGTCTTGAATGATATTATGAGTCAAAGCTCTCAAACTCTACCTTCGAAAGCCTGGGATTATTTATCAACTGGCTTGTACGCAACATTCTGGCAATTATCACTTTATGATATCAATTATACAGAAGACTTGTATGATGCTGAATTAGAGAAGTTAAAATCGAATATAAACAGTATCAAAGACACTCTTTTAATTAATAAAAGAAGCAGTGAGGTATCAAGAACATCGATAGATAGGTATAAGAAGGATTTAATACAAAATGAGGACTTTGTTTCAGTGATTCCAGAGGAAAACGAGAGTCACCTGAAGCATTATGAATTAATTTCCAAAAGATTAATCAAGGAATCATCACATTGGTTCACAATGGGTGGCATTGATAATATTAAGCTGCAAGTTCAATCCTTTTTCCAATATTGTCTCCTTCCAAGAGCAATTCACTCATCATTTGATGCAGCGTATTCAGCGAAGTTTTTATTTCAGTTGCATAAGGTGGAAGCTACTAACTTTTCTATTATTATTGCACTAAATGAACTAATTAAAAATAATATTTTATTTGGTACATTATTTACATCCACTCCGGCTGAGGCAGAAAATCTTGGTTTGTTTTTTGCTGAATTACTAAAGAGGTTGCATGAATGGTCAAACGAAAGCACGTTCAATACTGAAGCAAACAATTCAACGTTGTTTTCAGAAGCAGACACCACTCAAGAACTAACATACGACAGCTTTCGTAAATTATTGTTTGAATATCACGATATTATTTTGAAAGATGTTGGCAAAGCTTTGGAAGTTAAAGAGTATATGTGTCGTCGTAATGCAATTACTTTCTTGAAATATCTTGTTGGTATTTACCCTAACGTAGAGGATCATTGTGAAAAAATTGTAAAGTACCTTGAGAATATTGCGTTAAATGAGGAAAGAGAGGACTTGAAATTATCATCAAGTGCATTAATTGGACATGTCAAATCGAGATCAAAAGAGTGGGTATCTTTATGGGAATTTATTCCAATGGATGACAAAGAAAAAGAAGCACATGTTCAAAAGCGAAATGCAATAAAAGAAAATATTAAGAAATTAGAGCAAGAAAATAAGGACAGAATCAAAGAGAAGGAACTTAAGGAGAAGCTTATGAGAGAGAAAGAACTCTCAGAGAAAAGAAATCATGCAAGTACAATCAGCTATGATGAATCGAAGTCAACATCATCGAGACCTGGTACGAGAACTTCTGATTCTGCTAAAACAAGATACGATTATTACTCGAAGTACGGAGAAAATAAAGTGAAGAGCCAACCAAAGGATGAGACTTCTACGGAAGCACAAAAGGCAACCAAGGTAGAAGATGAGGTTGCAGAAAAATCGAAGCAAGATGAAAAGAAGGAAAATTCCAAACAATTAGATTTGAAGGCCCGAATCAGAGAAGCAAAGAAGGAATTAAAGGAATCGCACAAACCCGATTCAACGGCAGCATCGAAGGAAGCTTCTCCAGCTTCATCCAATGAAAGTATTAACAGCAAAGATCAAATAAAAGGAAGCATACCAGCCAGAAAACCGAACACACCTAACGCCCCGAACGCGCCGAAAGCTCAACTGAATTCGAGACTAACTGAAGAAAACAGACCTAAACTGCGTACTCCTCTTCCACCGCAAGATATAGCTGCTCAGAAGGATACGCAGAATGATTCCAGATATAATGAAAAAAATCAACAATTTGGAGGTAGAAGATACAATGAAAACTATAATTCGAATAGATATAACCAAAGACCATATACTCCAAATAGTCAACAAAATAGGCTGCAACAGAAGAGACCTGTTCCTCCACCTCCATCTAGAGGACCTTCAAGACCTATTCCTCCTCCACCTCCTCCGCCTGCTGGTCTCAAACAAACCAATGATCACCAACATAGACATGATAATCAGGGAGGCAGAAATAGTGGTAGATATGATACCAAGAGAAAACATGATACGTATAATAGCAGTGGAAGGGGCTATGATAAGAAACCAAGATACTAATTAACTGTATATAACTTTATAATAAATGACATTATATTCAATAAATATATATATTACACTATTTTACATCCGCAGTATTATTACCTGCTATTTGGCCAGCCTGAATCGATTTTAATTCTTCATCTATCATGTCATCTAGCTCAAAATCGTCGTCACTACTTTCCACTGCATGATGTCTCTTGGTAGCCATCACAGGTTCATCATTATCTGGAAACAACCTCTTATCGTGCATATTGCTAGAGTCCTTTTCTTCCAGATCAAGACTTTTTAAAAACGTTTCAATTTTTTTTAAGTGTGATTCATGCCACTTTAAATGTCTCTCAAGATCATAATCACGGCTGAACATTCTATCACAATTCTTTTTCGGACATGGAAGTTTCCTTTTCAGATAATTATTCAGAATGAGATCTACAATGGATGCTTTTCCAGATTCCAAAGTTAAATTTAACGAATTCAATGATTTGTGTGAAGCTTGCATACCATTGGACATGTAATCATTCTCTTCCTTCTCTTCATCCGACGATACTTCCACAAACCCTTTTGATTGTAATGCTTCTAAAGTATTAAAATCAGTATTGGTTGAGTCCTTTTCGTTTAGAAGTCTATCTAACTGTTCTCGTTCGATCGGTTTCAATAAATCATCAGGAAGATTTCTGTCGTGATAAGTGTTGTAATGATCTATTAAATCGGCCTTTTTCACAAATTTTCCAATGTTACAATAATTACAATTCCATAGTTTCACCATCTTTTCTTCATCGTGGATATTCATGTGTGACCGAAGCCCTTTCTTACCTACGCATCCTTTCCCACATATAGGACACTTTATCTTTGGGTGTTCAGTTTTTATATGCAATTGTAAAGCTGACCATGTCATAAAATTTCCAAAACAGCCTTGATGGTCACATTGGTAAGCCGGAGAGTCACTGTGATATTTAATATTGTGTTGTGCCAATCGATACGGTCTGTTAAACGATTTATTACACTTATTGCATAACAATTTTTTTTCATGAACGGATAGTGTATGATGTCTGAGTGACTGATGCTTATAAAATGACTCATTACAGCCCTCAAATTTACAAACGAATGATTTTGTATGTGTTATTTCGTGTCTCTTTAAATGTTGTAAGGTATTCACACCTTTGCCGCAAGTTGCACACTGGAAGGGTTTACTTTCTTGATTTTCATGAGAAAGCAAATGTGCTTGTAAATGTGACTTTCTTAAGAAAGACTTATCGCAACCAGTTTCTGAGCATTTAAACGGTCTTTCATTAGTATGTGATCTTTTATGTTGTTCTAAGAGTGATGGTTTAGAATAGGCCTTCTCGCAGCCTGGCTCGTCACAAATATAAATTTTAGGTCGAGCAGAAGACGACGACGCCCTGGAAGATACGGACGCTGTCTCCGAAGATTCCATAATTCAACCTAGTCTTTCTGAAAAATTCTAAATGTACTGTTAGCATCAAGATATATTTTGTATTTTATCTAATGAAAAATATTCTGAGCCGCAACTTTGTTCCATTCCATTATATAATTTTTATTTTTATTTGTTTATTCTTAAATAAACCGGAATGATACTTAATAATCAGGCCACATAAACCAATATCATATGTTGGTAGTAAAATAAAATAAATATTATTAATGAAGTTGGAGGTAAAGAGAAACAAATGTTACAGCGTATATTAAACAAAAACACTACACAGTGTTAAGCTTCGTTCCTCATGGCCCAATGGTCAAGGCGTCTGGCTACGATTTCGTATCCACTTCTCGGTTGGAACCAGAAGATTCCAGGTTCGACTCCTGGTGGGGAAGCTTACTTTTTTTCATATTTTTTATATACAACAAAAATGCTGTATTCAAATACGCTATTACAACG